GTCAAAAGCGATACAAAAAATTATTAAATTATATATTAAACCGAAAATATATAAATAAAACAAGTTTTTGTGTAAATATAGTTATTTAAGTGACGAATAAATTTTGAAGAATTTTTTCAAAAAATTACATTTTGTTTATTTTGTTTATTATATTGCCTTAAAATATCACTAGTGTTTTCGTTATCTTCATGGAGTGGATCAGTTTGGCGGACACTTCACTCCATGCCATCGATGGCAGTGCTATTGAATCAAGTGTTTAATAAAAACAGCACATAATATGCCAAACATGTTGTTTAAAACTTTAGACATATTATAGTTACCCTGTGATAATAAATATATAAAATCATATAAATTATTCTAGTAGTATCTGGCTAACAAGATATCGAAGCTATTGACACTATCATCATTTATAGATATAATTTAAACCGTGATTTGTTATCTATAGATTGGAAATGAAGAGTGATTGACAATTCATTTTAAAGTTAAAATAATTTTTTATAAAACTCAATCCATAGTAAAAAGAGAAACATTTTTCATTACGATAAATGTTATTTTATTTTATCTTATACTTAACGCACAAATCTTTTAATATAAATATCATAAACGCTAACCTTTCTTGTATTGACAGCAATGATATTTTATTGATTAGATTTGTTGTGGTATTTAAAAAGCGTTAAATACCATCAACTCATGTAAAGTGAGTTTTAGTTATCAATCGTTTATTGTTTCAATTATTGTTGAATAATTCAATTATCGTTGAGTGCGTTAAACGTATGGGATAACCAAGATTAGCACAAAATGTTACCCTGATCATTTAGGTACTGGGTAGTATCTTAACCTACTTAAAATAATATAATTGGCATAATCTACTAACCAGTTACCTAAACATAAAATATAATCTAGTGCATTTTTAGATATTAATGTTAGGATATATGGTTTTCACATTCATTTAATATCTGTAATATACTGTATGTAGGGCTATTAGCGTTTGTAATCAAGCAATTATTCTGGGTGTAATGCATAAAGAATAATGCAAATAATTTGGCATATATTATACAATACTATAGAAACATTAAATTTTATTAATAATGTGTATTGAAAGGGGCGTTAAATCAATCAGTGCTATCAATGGATAATTAATTACAATCGGTGCCATCCCTGGCCACTGTTATCACTACCACTTAACGCATAGATACCGGCGCCTGAATAATGTCAGGTGTGCCACTGGTTTGCAATCGCAATAACCTTTCCAATTAACCATAAGCTGTTATATTATAACACATTTATACAAACATTTCTAATAATAATACTACTCTGAAATAAATTTTTTTATTATTAAAAATTATATGAATTATAATAATATAGTTTGTCATCTCATTTAAAACTATATTTTTATAATTAATTTATACTTAATATTTAACAAATAATTGACACAATAAATGGCTGATAAGGAGAGTGAGGATAGAGTGTCCAAACGTGATGAGGAGGAGGAGGACGAGGACGAGTACGCTGGGGTCGGATGCTGTCATCCGGCCCATCAGTTTCACCGATATTTTTTCATGGTTATCATGTGTTCGCTCGGCATTGGTATGTATTTCACAATTTATGCTTTTTTAGTCTTGTTTTAATTTTATAAATTATAAATTAAGATTAGTTAACATGTAATGGTTTAGGAATTAATAGCTGAACATTAGTTTCAATAGAGATGTTTTATTTAAAACTTAAAATATCTTTATATTCCTATACATTAGATGTAGTAATTTATTCGTGATTTGATAATAAATAGTGAATTAATTATAAATAATGTAAATTGCAAATTAAATTGTTTACTACAAAATAAACAAATCATAAATAGATTCATTATAAATATATAATGCTAAACTTTATATACTTTTACATGATAACTAAATTTTTAATTGTTTAATTACATGTTTAGTTTGCAAATTATTAATAAAAATAAGTGGGTGTATTTGATGAGAAAATTGCAAATTTTACAAAGAGTTACCGCATATAGTAATTACGAATACACCAGGAATTACTTATCATGTGTAAAATTCTTGACTCTAATATCTAAGCATTTCAATGTTTAGATGTTTTGTTAGAAATGCATTATTGATTAAGTTTAAAGTCTATTATAATTATTATCAAAACAGACATGAATAAGTGAAAACTCAAATAAAATTAACAACTCATTGATTATTATTGATAATGATTTTAGTGTATTGTATAACAATGTTATATAACATAATCATTAAAATTAATATTTGTCCATAAAATCTACCAATACTACGAAGATAAAAGATATTTAAATATTATGTTATAAATATGCTTAAAAGAGATGTCATTTAACTCTTGTCAAACTGTTGCACATTAATGGTTAGAATTAAAAAAATTTATTATAAAGTCTGTTTCATATTTAGAGAGACTAGTTTAAATGAAGATAAAATAGTATTTAAACACTCGATTTTAATCAAATAATTTTATTTGCAATTTACAATACTTATAGATTGGTTTTGTAAATTTTTACTACAAAATCGTAATCCAGTTAGCCGCAATAAATTTATAAAGATTCAATAATTAGTCCGTATTATCTCACTATACCGAGTTTTACGGTAATTTTGTTAAATTCCCGTTTAGAATGGTCAATTAATCTACGGATTTATTCCAAAACCATTCTAATAGTTTTGTTTGACAATATAAATGTCAATTTAACTGGTTTCATTGATTTTGATTGTCCTCCAGTAAGTCGATTTTTCGGAAATTTACCGATTTTTTTAATTCGAATGTATTTTTTACCATGATAACTTATTTTGTTAATGCTGTAACTTTGTAAATTTGTCACTATGTATTGATAGGTTAATTTGGCTAAGTGTGGAATTTTTCGTGTTATCGGTGTAGTGACCAGCGGAGTGTTAGTTGGGCTAAGATCGGGACTTTAATTTTGAACTTTCGGGCCATTTAAAATAATTGTTGTGATGCAAATTGTTAGTGTTGTAATATACCAATTTAAAGGTCTCATTTAGATGTATCTATGACATTTTAGACATTGAAACTACAACCAATAATAGTTGAGTTTTAATTAAATTTGTAATTTATAATACAGTCTCCCTAAATATGAAACGAACTTTATATTTAATTACAAGTTTACGAGTGTACTAAACGTTTAGGTGAATAGCATTTCAATACAATAAATATTTATAACAATTATAAGATAAATAAATTCTTATAAATATTTGTATATTAATAATAATAATCAATATTCATTTCAACATACAAACAAAAAACAAATGCTTAATAATGAACAATCATAATTATCCAGGTAATTATTTCTGTTACGATGCACCGGGTTCGCTTCAAGAACAAACAATCGCTGATATGGACATTAATACCACACAATTTGGATTACTATATTCACTATACAATTGGCCAAATGTAGTGCTCAGTCTGTTCGGTGGGTTTCTGGTGGACCGCCTCCTGGGTATCAAATTGGGTGCCATAATATTCGCGTGCTTTACATTCACGGGACAATTCCTGGTGGGTTTGGGGGCGTATCTCAACCTGTTTTGGCTCATGTGTTTGGGACGGTTTGTGTTCGCCATCGGCGGCGAGAATCTGGCCGTCACTGCAAACATGCGGGCCGTCAAGTGGTTTAAAGGCAAAGACCTGAGTCTAGTGTTTGGCCTGCAGTTGAGTATAGCCCGGGCCGGCGCTACCATTAACCTAAACGTTATGAAACCCATATACGACTGGATCGGCGGCTCGTACTCCGGTCACCAACAGTTGGGCATTGCTTTCATGCTCGCAGCGTTGGTCGCCGCTTACGATCTGGTCATTGGTATAGTACTGGCCTTTCGGGACACTTGGGCTGAAAAGAAGCTTAAGATTAAAGACGTGAAGAGCGATAAGATTAGCATTAGTGACGCCAAAGAATTTAAACTCAATTATTGGACAATTACTGCAATTATTGTATTTTACTACATGGCTATCTTTCCATTCATCTCGCTCGGAATGTATGACATTTCTCTCCCTCCCTCTCTGCAAAACAATTAATATTTTAATTAAATTTAATATTTCAGTCCATTCTTCGCCCGTAAATTTAAATTCAATTCAACCAATTCTCATACTGTGGACAGTATTGTATACATGATATCAATCGGCGCCTCACCTATACTGGGAATAGTGATGGGACGGGTGGGCCGTAATGTAATGTTCGTATTGTTGGCTGTATTGGTCTCTCTGTGTGCGCACGCAATCATGTGCTTCACATTTTTGACCCCATGGGTGGCTATGATTATACTGGGCGTCGGGTATTCACTACTGGCCTGCACTGTATGGCCTATGATATCGCTGGTGGTGCCCGAGCGGACACTGGGCACGGCGTACGGGCTAACTCAGGCCCTCCAGAATCTGGGTTTAGGTATTATTCCGTTAGCGGTGGGCGTTATTGTCGAAAGCAAGGGTTACTTAGTTTTGGAAATATTGTTTTTGGCGCTACTCTCAGGTTAGTCACTGATTGAAACACTAACATATTATGGTAAAAAATTATATAATAATTAATAACTATCATGATACTTTAGTGGCCATCATATTCATAATGATATTGTTTGTGTTGGATGAGAATAAGGGCGGTTACCTGAACATGACTCCCGACCAAAGGATCGAGTTCAACGAAAAAAAGTTTGTATTTATTTCAATTAAATCATAAACACATTTAATATTTGCTAAAATTAAAACATGTTTTTGTTTATTATTATTTAAAAGGAAAGATTCCCTTTCAATAACGCACATTTTCGATTTTCTTGAGGAGATCTAATCTATAGTATGTCTATTATATTTGTTTCCGGGGTTAGAATCGGCGAATGGCCAAAGACATGGCACATGTGACCACATTTTTCAGTTATATATTCTGTACATGTCAAGTTTGCGAGTCTTTGGCCATTCGATAATTTTGTCTTTGGAAAAAATCAGAGTATTTTAGACGTATTATAGACTTATTAATATAGTACTGAATCACTATTTATTATTGGAATAGTTAATTGATCTAGTATTAATTCAGCACATTAGTATTTACTAATTGCAAAATTATTTTATTAAAAATATTTATTTATTTGCAGAACAACTGCCAAAACCACTGATTTGCAAGAGTCGGACCAAATGGGTGTCGACGGAGTATATAATGCAAAATCAACACAACTTTAATTAGATTTCAATTATTTTAACTTATATTAACAATATTAATTTAAATCAATAATATTAGACCAGTTTTAATTACACGATATTAATATATTTAATAATTAATAATAATGTTGACAATAGAAATTACAAATTATATGCATATTTTTTAATGTTTTTGACCATGATCACAATTTTATATTTATATTTTGATACAATAATTAACAATAAAAATAAGTGAACATATTCTTGAGAATGATTCATTGTTTGTGTGTAATATAATTATGTTAATAGTGTTGCCTTATCTAGATTTACAAATTTTAATGTTCTATTACTAACAATATTTATATAAAAATAATTTTTATTAACAGTAAGATATTATTTTATATATTTAAATGTATTAACATGTTATATAATATCATTTACTGATCAAGCTGTAATTAAAATAACAGTAATATAGAAATGTATCAATTGTTTGCATTAAATCTTAAGCGTTAATTATGATAAGTTATTGATAAATAACAAGTAAGATTTATTTGATTTTTAGTTAAGAATGTTCGTAACGTACCTTAATTTTTAAAAATAAAAGTTATGTACAATTATTATAAACTTATCTCTGAATGCTCCTTCCAAGTTCATTATGTATATCGTATAATAACGTTTCCTTTAGTGCATAGTATAATCTTATATCTTTCTGCTTGCTGGAACGGTTCATTTTACTCAAATTTTATTGGTTAATAAATATAATTATCTAGTTTAATGATCTATTACATAATCATTAAATGTGCCATAAAATTATGAACTATACATAACTATGTATAAAAGCCGCCAAACGTAATAATTTAGAAATATTTGTTAATTGAGTTAACAATACAATGGATAATACAGACAATGAGAGTGTTGTTAGAAATGAAGACAATGTTAATGAAGCAGATGTTAAGGAAGAGGAGGACTATTCAGATGTGGGATACTGTCATCCGGCACATCAGTGTCACAGATATTTCTTCATGGTATTCATGTGTACCCTAGGAATTGGTATGTTATTCACATTACTTTTTTATGGTTGTTTTAAATTGACCAATATTACAAAAATTTAGTTTAATTATTGTTAATATCAATAATAATTATTGTTAAACTTTAAACTTTATGTAAACATTAAACCAAATACTAATTAAATACAAACATGTAAAATTATTATTGGTTTTACTAAATTTATTTTAACAAAATATTTTAAACATTTAAACATGAATTTTCATTGATAATAATATTATGTTTTTAACATATTTCTTAAAATTACAAATATTTGTCAGTAGAATATTTGAATTTCAAATACATGTGAAATCATAGAATAAGTTATATCACAAATACAACTGTAAAATACAACTATATTGTACCAACTATATTGGCAATATTCATTATGTTATTTATCGCAAAATTGCTTATAATTTATTGAGATTAAAGAATGTAAATTTGAAGAATTATTGAATAAAAACATTGTGATTATGCAGGTAACTATTTTTGTTTCGATTCTCCCGGGGCTTTGCAAACACAAACTATGGATGATATGAATTTAAGCGCCACTGAATACGGCTTATTGTATTCGCTGTACAGTTGGCCAAATGTAGTGCTCAGTCTGTTCGGTGGGTTTTTGGTGGACCGCCTCCTGGGTATCAAATTGGGTGCCATTATATTTGCGTGCTTTACATTCACGGGTCAATTCCTGGTGGGTTTGGGGGCGTATCTCAACCTGTTTTGGCTCATGTGTTTGGGACGGTTTGTGTTCGCCATCGGCGGTGAGAATCTGGCCGTCACTGCAAACATGCGGGCCGTCAAGTGGTTTAAAGGCAAAGACCTGAGTCTAGTGTTTGGCCTGCAGTTGAGTATAGCCCGGGCCGGCGCTACTATTGTTATTAACGTTATGAAACCCATATACGATTGGGTCGGCGGCTCGTACTCCGGTCACCAACAGTTGGGCATAACTTTAATTATCGCATCGCTTGTGGCCGCGTATGATCTCGTGATTGGTATAGTACTGGCCTTTCGGGACACTTGGGCTGAGAAGAAGCTGAAGGCTGAGGACGTGAAGAGCGATAAGATTAACATTAAAGATATAAAGGAGTTTAAACTCGACTATTGGCTCATAACTATTGTTATAACGCTATTCTATATGACTATTATTCCTTTCGTTTCATACGGAATGTATGTTTGATTCTCTCTCTCTCTCTCTCTCTCTGCAAAACAATTAATATTTTAATTAAATTTAATATTTCAGTCCATTCTTCGCCCGTAAATTTAAATTCAATTCAACCAATTCTCATACTGTGGACAGTATTGTATACATGA